CAAGAAGAGGTGCGCCATCCATTGGTCTCTGTTTAGGGGATCCCCATGATAAAGTATTTTGCAGAAGTCTACGATGAAGTGGAAAGATTCCAAGCACATCCTGATGATTTACTGATCTCTACATACCCCAAGTCTGGTGAGTGATGCCTCTGGCTGCATTTTCTTAAACAGACAATAGAAATTCTGGGTATTCATGTGTGGATAATTTTTAAATCTCTGCTTTCCCTTTGTTCTATCAACACGGACAACAATAAATTCCAGGCAGCTGAAAAGTAAACTTTTCTTTCAGAGACTGACTATATATGCCTGAAAAGAGACATATCTACTTATATTACATCTAATTTGCATTCAAGGTTTTATTGCCCTTAGTCTACTATCATCCATATACACAAATATTTTTCTGCTAATATTCTATTTTGCAAGAATATGTATATTAGTAACAGTTTGCTAAGCATTAGATTTTACAAGAAATATATCAGTGTTCCTTGGAAAGATTCGTAACTACATTGTTGTATAATAAATGGGTGTTGTTCCAACTGTCTGTCTTTCCTGGTTTTATTTAGGAAATAAAAATGACAGAAGGATGTTGAGATAAAATGAGAGACTGACGAAAGAACCGCATTCTCTCATACTAGAAGACCTTCAAGGTCCCTTCTAATTCTTTTATTTGTAATTCTGAAAATTCAGAAGTAGAACAGCAGAATTTCACACTGAAAACCTCATCTGCAAATATGCATAGGTTATAGAGTCCAATTTTCTTGTAAATGTTTTTCTTTAAATTCTTACACTATAAATTACCTTGGTCTTGGTTACTGTTAGTTAGAATTAACTATATTCAGTGTAGCTGGCCTGCAATTTAATATAAATAGAGTGTATGAATAAAATTAGTGTCTTTTTATGATCTATTATGTATCTGACTACAAGCTAAATATTTTTTTTTGTCTCCCAAATCTGGGGAATGGGAAGCACTGGTTTTAAAGATGATAATCAGCTCTTTTCCTCTGTTGAACTGAACGGCTGTCTGCTATCTTTGACTGTAAGAAAAGTGAATCAATAAATATATGTAGCTCAGAACTGAACTCCGGAGTCCTTGGTGGTGTCTGAGGTTGTTTGTTTGAAAGCATTAAGGACTGCACACAACTTAAACAGATAATTAGAACTGCAGAAAAAACAATTGTTACCAACCTGCCTTCCATTGGGGACCTCTATACTGCAGGAGTCAAAAAGAGGATTGTGAAAGTATTTACAGACCCCTCACATCCTGGACACCCTCAAAACCTTCTACCCTCAAAACGATGCTATGGGGCACTCCACACCAGAACAAATTGACACAAGGACAGTTTTTTCCCCCCAAATGCCATCACTCTGCTAAACAATTACAATAATTCCCATAACACTGTTAAATTATTTACTAAGACTGTATTACTATCATTCTTCTCATCCTTCCTAGTATCTATCTCTTCCCACCTATGACTATAACCATGTTGCTTGAATCTTTACATTTATATTGTTTTATTTGTTTACTAGTATGATTTGATTGCTTATTTTGTAACCTACAGCTATCACTAAGTGGTGTATCTTATGATTCTTGATTAATGTATTTTTTTTCTTTTATGTACATTGAGAGCATATGCACCAAAGAAAAATTCATTGTGTGTCCAAAAATACTTGGCCAATAAAGAATTCTATTCTATTCTATTCTATTCTATTCTATTCTATTCTATTCTATTCTATTCTATATTATTCTATTCTAACTGAATCAGCATGAAGTTTGCTATCCCTGTTACTGATTTTTATCCTGCTCTATCATGGTTGGCAGTACGGGGTTTTTAAATCCAGATTTAGGTTTTTTCCTATCCTTGGTTAGGTTTCTAGGTTTTTTTATTTTAAAATCTAAGCTTTTCTACACATTATTTTATATTGTATGCATTATATAGGCAAAAATAATTTAGTTTAAACCTCATTTATTGTGGGATTTGTTAATTAAGATTTTTGTGTAGAATCTGGGTCCATTTAAACTCTGAAATTCCAATTAAACAGATACAATACAATACAATAGCAGAGTTGGAAGGGACCTTGGAGGTCTTCTGCCTAAGCAGGAAACCCTATACCATTTCAGGCAAATGGCTATCCAACATCTTCTTAAAGACTTCCAGTGTTGGGGCATTCACAACTTCTGGAGGCAAGCTGTTCCACTGATTAATTGTTCTGTCAGGAAATTTCTCCTCAATTCTAAGATGCTCCTGTCCTTGATCAGTTTCCACCTATTGCTTCTTGTACTGCCATTAGGTGCTTTGGAGAATAGATTGACTCCCTCTCCTTTGTGGCAGCTCCTGAGATATTGGTACACTGCTGTCATGTCTCCCCT